GATGGAAATTCCATTGACTGTTCGATCAGTTGATTAATCTAATTTTAACATCCCTAGATTGGGGTAGGCAGTAATTTTTGATGAGGGAGGCACTCCAAGATTTTGGTAAGTGGCCAAGGGTCACACTTTTCTATGGAAGAGATGCATAGTCTGGGATGGAGGTTGGGTGCAGAAGGGAGCTTAGGGTAGGAGTTTGGGATATAGGAGAGGGTTTAGGGTCTGAGAGGGAGTTATGACCAGGGACAGAGGATTGGGATGCAGGATCCAGGAGGGAGTGGTGACCTGGGAAAGAAGAGTGCAGAGGGTTTGGGTAGTGACCTGGGACAGGGAGTTGGGGTGTGGGAAAAGGTGAGGTGCCAGGTGCAGGCCCTGACCAGGAGGTGCTTACCTAGGCAGCTCTTAGCCAGCAGCCCAGTGGGACTCTCAGGGAGACTCCCTGCCTGCTGCAGCCCCAGTCTTACAGTGGCTGGCTGCTCCCTCTGTGTGCCTCTTGGTGCTGGGGCTGGGAGCTGACTTTGCATGCTGCACCTGCCCCCAGGCCAGTCATAGCAGCCCCTTTTGGGGGCTGAGGCAGTGCACAAAGTCCTTCTCCTCTTCCCAGCACTTGGCACAGAGAGGCACATGGAAGAAGTAACCAGCCACTTTGAGCCTGGAGCTGCTGCAGCAGCCAGGAAGCCTGCTGAGAGTCCTGGTGAGGCGGGCTGGATCCAAAGGCTTGGTGGGCCAGCATCTTGCCCCTGCCTGCCTTAGATGTAGGTCAGATGTACAATAAGTTTCAGGGTAACAAAATAAGTAGCAGTAAATTTAATATCCAGTTAGTTTAATTAGTAATAGGGAATAAGTATAAATAAAAGCGAGCTGCGGTAAGAGCCATTGCCAAAATATGTCTGGTTTCTGATAAATGTTGCCTTTAGAATTTAGCTTTCCTAACCTAAAAGACATTATCTGGGTAGGACAGAGAGTAGTTGAGTTGCCGAAGTCCTACTTTTTTTAAAAGTGAAGTACAAGTGCAGTCGTATTTAAAAGGAGCATGATTTCAGCTCCTTAGCTATTCCCTTTCAACAGAGTGCTTTGGATAAGGACTCTTTTTGAGAAATGCCTGTCTAAATTCTGTGCAGAGTGTCGAGGGCACTCAAAATGATTGGGCTGTATCTCTCATACTAAGGCCATGCCTAGACTTGTCGTGATACAGCTACAGTGCTGAAGCTGTGCCCCTAAAGTGCTGGAGCATAGATGCTTTCCACATTGATGGAAGGGATTTTTCAATTGATGCTGTTAATCCATCTCTACAAGAGGCGGTAGCTAGATCAGTGGACAAATTCGTCTATTGGCCTAGCTGTTTCTACACAAGGGGTTAGGTCAATTTAACTACAGCATTCAGAACATGACATTTTTCACAGCCCTGAACAATCAGTGTAGGGTGGACAACAGTAGAGAGAGTTGATTCTAGGATAGATTTTACCAGCACTGAGAATAAAGATGCCATTTTTAGAGGTTTTTCACTCCACACTTCTGTTCCTAGCAATCACTCCTACAGAAGCACACATTAATCTCCTTCCTTCACTTCCTTCATCACTTATTATTTTTTTTGTCCTTTTTATTTCTCGTTCCAATCGGTTTAGGGATTGTAGAGATTTTTATGGTCAAACCTATACTGGAATTATTTTGCATCGTACTGTTACACTTCTTTTATGAATAGGAGTGGAGTTTTTGTTTGATGAAAATTGATCTTATATTTGCCAGAACACCAGAACACAGTGTCTACACACTGTTGCTGATTATGGATGTGCACATAGATTTGAAGTGCCTTAAGGTAGGACTTGTCACTCATCCATGAAATTGTATACATTCTAATGCTTTAGTCTCTAAACGCTATAGCCCTGGTCCTGCAAGTCTGTTGTGCGTGGGTGGCTCTCTCTCTCCTTGCAGAAAGCACCATGGAAGTCAATGGAATTCTGTCCAGGTTCTGCTTGCAGGATGGGAGTCCATTTGCCTCTTTTTATCCGTTTTCTCTGGTACATGTATCTTCATCTTTGGAGGTCATTTAGTTGTTAATTTTAGCCATTTGGGCATCATTATCTTTGGTGATATGTGGTTAAAGTTGCTATGCATATTATGGAGACAATCATCTACGCTTCGCAATTAGGCAGTACATGTCCAGATATAAGTAAGTGTATAAAAGGCATATAAAGAAATCTGAAAACGATGTAGCAGACTTTAAAATAATTGACTGTGTTTGTATCAATTTTTTTAACATGACATTCTAGATGCTTCATACATTAATTTACAGGATCTTTTTAGTCAGCAAGGTTACACTAAATCAGCAACTATTTGTTCTTCTTAAATTCAATTAAAGAAAATCATTTATTTTAATTAAAATAAAAGCCCATTAATTTGGATTGTGTTGGCAGTTTGCTGTACGGTGACAGTGCCTGAGATTTATTGCAACTGAACCAGCTATTTAGGCTGGCTTAGTAGAATGAACTTGACTTTATGAGGTGGTGGGAGAATTATCCAGTAATCCTGCTGGTTTGCTCACTGATTGAAATTTAGGAAATGATCCCAGATGTAAGTAGAAAGATGTGTTTAATGGATTAGAAGATGTAGAAACCAAATTTTATATTTTTACTACTTTTATATTTGAAAACATGTTTTCTGTTTTAAGACAATGAATAACTGGCAGCAGCACATTTGGCAATCTAGATTATCACTCCGGGGGGGGGGGGGGTTTGGGGGGGGGGAGATTTTTTGTTAACATAATTAATGAGTTGGAAGCAAGCTATTTCACACTTTTTTGGTCTCAGTCTGTAAGTGAAGTGTATTTTCAGAATTTATTAAACATTTCCTTCTGAGAAATTCCATTAAAGGTGATCTCTAAAAGGGAAAAGAATTGGGGGGGCGGGAGGGGAAGCGCTTTAAAAGCAAAACCAAAAACATGTACATGGAGGGGTGAGTTACTGTTTATTCTTTTATGTTAACAATTCAGATGTTGTCTGCCCTGGAATTCCCTGTAGTAAGGGCTCTCAAACTTAATTGCACCATGACCACATTCTGACAATAAAAAATTGCTACATGACCCTGGGAGAACAGGGGGATGGGACCAAAGCCTAAGCCCTACCATCCAAGGGTTTCAACCTAGTCATGCCACCCAAGGTTGAAGCCCTACTAGAGAACTAGTGAAACTGAGTCGCATTGAAAGCTGAACAATACAAGCTGTTTACACTATCCTTAATTTTTCTAAAATTTCCCTCTAGTTCTAAGTTGAAATATTTAGAGGGGAAGGAAGGAAGACAAATGTACGTACCTCCTAACAATGGGAAGGGCTTTTAGTCAAACTCTGGGAGAGCTGGGGAATAAGGATGTTAAATTACTGAGTAATTTACTAGTTGAGTAATCGATAGACTGTTCATTGACTACTCAACTAGTCGATAGGGCTCTTGTGCATTTCAGAGGAGGAGTGCGGAACTCCATGTGCAGCCCGGGGACAGTGGGAAGTCCTGCTGACTCTGGGCTCCATGAGGACGCTTACCCTTTGAAACGGGGACTGGTACTGTGCTTTGTGCAGCATTTTCGCAGAATCCGAGGTCATCTGGGGACTCCCCAGTGGACCTCGGGCTCTGCTCGCTTTGAAATTCTGCACTGAAATGTGGGATCAGCTGGGGAGTCCTTAGCTGATCCTGGGTTCCGTGGAAATGCCACGCGGAGCCTGGGGTCAGCTGGGGACTGATCCCAGGCTCCGTGCGGCATTTCCTCCAAACCTGGGGGCTCCACTCAGCATTTCAAAGCAGCAGTGCCATACGGAACCCGGATCAACTGGGGATTCCCCAGCTGACTCGGGTTCCGTGGAAATGCAGCAGGGAGCCCAGGGTCAGCTAGGGAGTCCCCAGCTGACCCCGGGCTCCAGGCTGCACTTCCTCTTTGAAACACCATGGCAGCATTTCAAAGCGGCAGCACCTCACAATTGATCCTGGGCTCTATGTGGTGCTGCCCCTTTGGAGAAAAGACAGCCTCACCAAATCGAGCACTGGCCTTAAAATTGACATGACTGAGCAAATGTTGAAAGAGACTTAACCGAGATGAGCCAGAAAATAGGATGGACCTTGAATAGGATTATTTCTCATTAATCCTTGCAGAAAAGGAGATAAAACAGAGAGAATTTTTTAGCACCGCTAAATCAATATTTAAGGTTTGAAAACTAGAACAAAATGTTATTGAAAACCAAATTGACTGTAGCACTTTTTGTTAAAGCATAGGGAATGTTAAGAATTTATTGGGATGAAGAAACAAAATATTACTTGATGGAATTCTTGATTTATGGACACTAGCAATGCCAGGTAAATCTATTAGTGATAAATAAACATCACTGCATATATGCAATATGATCAAGTTAAAACTTACAGTTCCCAATGGACTAATTCCATTAAAATAGATGAAAATTCTGGGTAGGCCTAGAACATGCCCCATATCCACTGAAGATAACATTCCCGTTGTAAAGAGAGGCTTTAGCAAGACATGTTGATAGCAGTTTCTCCAGGTACAATAGATAAGAACTGAAAAGGCTTTGAATCTTTTGGGTTTCATAACAAAAGCTCATCATTTGGTTAGAGAGGGGTGTTAATATTTTTTTTTCATTTGTTGTTATATGCTCCTCATTCTCCCCTACTTTAACAGGGCTAATCCTTTGCCCTGAGAGATACTAGCAAGTCACTAGTTTCCTTTCCCCCTCCCATCTCTGTGGCAGAATGAAGTTTGCTCATAGAAAAATGTATTTTAACTTTTGTGAAACTTAAAATTATAGTACTATATTCTGCATGAAAGCAGTGGGTAACAAAATAACAATTTAAAAAAATATTTACTAGTATTATAGTTTCTTCTTTTAGGTTTATAACACAGAGAGAAAAATGGCCAGAAGAAACCACTCTAGCTGTCTAAACTTGTTTGTAGAGAAGTTCATGTTATTGCAACCTGTGCTGTTTATAACACATTTATGTCTTCTGTAGCTTGCACCACGAGAGAGAGCAGCTATGAATTACAACCAAAAGTTGAAAGAGAAGTTCCAACACCATCCTCAGATCAAACGCATAGCTCGTCACCGTCACTTGCCCAAAGCTATCTACAGCCAGGCCAAGCAGCAGCGCATCATGCGGGAAGCTTGTCGGCGGAAGTATGACTCTTTTTCTGTCTTTTTTTTTTCTTCATTATGTATTGGTAAAAGAGATGTTACCCCATTGTTGTGGCAACAGTCCATAGGGACTCTAACAAGGGAACAGCTCTTATGAATGACTAGTATCAATTTGGTCAAGCAAATAAATCAGCTATTAGACTGATAGTTAGAGTCTGTGGAGTAGTAAGTGCAGATCCAGCTGCCAGTAGGAGCAAAGACTAGCTTGCTTCCTGGGCCCTCTGAAAGGTTGTTGAGAGAGGACATAAGGTCATAGACGGAGACCGCATCCCCTATCAGCTCTTTTGTATAGTCATGTCAGAGGAATTAGGGTTGCTTTGGGAGGATGAGGGTGTTCTGGCTCCTTGGCTGTGCTCAGTCTTAGTATCAGTGTGAAAATTTTCACTTTACTGGAGCACCTCTATCGGTTCCTGGGAGTAGAAAGCATCTGTGCATATCTATTGCCATGGTACTGAAAGAGAAGTTGGCTGACACATGCATGGAGGAATGGGAGGTGGTGGGATTGAACATGTTTGTTACACTCTGGTGTCCACGCTTCCCAGCTGATCATCCTGTTTACAGCTATCTATAAATCAATCAATCAATCTGTGCACTAAGAAAGGAGGCTCTTAAAAATGTGAACTTTAGTAAGTTTTCCAATTTAACACAGTTTTAGATGGACACTGTTCTTTTTTAAAAGGAATTTTTTGTAATACAGGCAGTCCCCGGGTTACATGGATCCGACTTACATCAGATCCCTACTTACAGACGGGGTGAGGCAACCCCACACTAGCTGCTTCCCCCCAGCAGACCAGGGAGACGCGAAGCTAGCATGCCCCCCCTCTCCCTCCCCCAGCAGACCAGGGAGATGTGGAGCGGCTTTTCTCAGCAGACACCTCAGCTTGAGAATAAAGGACTGAGGGAAGTGAGGTGTGGGAGAATAAAACTGAGCTCTGGAGAAATGTTTGGCTAGTTTCCCCTATAATATGTACCAGTTCCGACTTGCATACAAATTCAACTTAAGAACAAACCTACAGTCCCTATCTTGTACGTAACCCGGGGACTGCCTGTACTTAATGATCTCAATTGATTTTGATTCTGAAGACATGCATTTTTAGGAACTGTGGAACACTTTGCCATAGTATCCTAAGCAAAAGCTAGAATTTCTGACCTTGAACACCTATTGCTGATATTATCAATCTCACTTTTCTCTTTGTCGTGTCTGTTTCCAGGGAACTGAATCGCCGTAAACACAGCAAGCCGGGGTCCTCACCATTTGTGTCAGAAAAGAAGAAGCACATTGTGGCTGTAGTGAAATAACTTTTTTTGCTGGTTTACAGCATTGTGTGTAACTTTTTTATTTAAACAATTAGCTACACTGTACAAAAGTAAGGATCTGCTGCAGACCCAGCCACAAGTGATGTGGCTCATTTTTCTTCTTTGTATCCCCCTCCTCCTATTTCTCAAGTCATCATCCAGTTTGAGAATTCAGAATACTTGGTTTTATAAAGTCCTGTAATCAAACTTGTGGCTGGTGTAAATTGACCCAGCCCTATATATTTCAGTGAAACTTCACTTGAAATATCAGCAGAGAATTTGACTGTTGGGGTGATATATCAGTATATCAGCTCTCTCCCCTGCCACCTTCTCCTACAAAAAAAAAAAAAAAAGGTGAACATATTTCATCATTGCCTATGGCAAATAGATTTCCCTGATGTTAGAAATTATAAACTATATATTTTTAATGACAATTATAAAAAAGGAAAAAATTTGTTAGAAATGAAGAAAATGAATATCACACACAATGAGATAAATCAGGATTATATTCTATGTCAGTAAGGGTATGTCTACATTGCATTCCTCTTTCGAGAGAGGAATGCAAAGGAACGAAATTGCAAATGAAGTGCGGATTTGAATTTCCCGCACTTCATTTGCATAATCACGTCTGGGCACTATTTTGAAATACCCTATTTTGAAAAAAATGTTGTCTAGATGCATTTATTTTGAAAGAAAACCCTTCTTTCGAAATTACCCTTAAACCTCATTTTATAAGAGGAATGCAATGTAGACATATCCTAACTTTATACTGTGCTTATTATTGTGCAGCATATTCTTTTTTTCTCTGATTGAAAGGGATTGGACAGTACTCAGAGCAATGTAAATAACAGGGCTGTTGTATGATGATCATATTAATAATTGTTGAATAAATGTGTTTACACTTCTCTTAAAATTACTCAGTGTATCTCTTTCATCTGGGTCTTAGAAAACCTTGAAATTTCCTTCATGTGAGATGCATTGTAAACCTCTTGTTTAAGGTAACAATTCTTTCATCCCAAAGTTCTTTAATTTGTGTGTGAGTATCACTTCACACCCAGCAGTGAATAGAAGCAGCTTCCTATTGAAATGACAGAATAATTTAGTTGGACAGATTGTAATTTTTCACACTGGAATTCAAGAAGGCTACTTGGTCTAATAGCTCTGTCCTTGGAGAAAATTTTGAGATATTTAACAGCCATAAATATTAATTTGATACTTAAGTTAAAAACATGGTGTTGAGAAGCACTGTGCTGCTGGAGATACAGTACTGTCTTTAGAATGAGTATTAACTGAGGCCCTTAATCTTTTTTGATTAATAAAAATTCTGTGTAAAATTTTCAAAAGCACCTATGTCCCATTTTCAACAGTGACCTAAACACTTAAATATCATTAACTTTCAATGAGGCTTAGGCGCCTCAGAATTTGACTGTGAGGGTCTAAAGATACAGAAGGATGTCTAGAGCAATGGTGCCCAAACTTCTGTTGCATCTCCTCCTTAAGTGTAATGGAACCACTACATGCTCCTCCTCCTTTGACTGCACAATTAACTTATCAGTAGAGCTTGGGCTGAAGGTGAAGCTGGGGGCTGACCTGAGGTGGGACTGCCCACGGGATCAGAGGGAATGAGGGTGAAGCTCAGATGGGCCTAGAGTTGGGATGGAGGCAGAGCATGGGATGTAGTAAAGTCTAGGGATGGAGTAGGGGGGAAAAGTAGAGCTGTGTCTGAGCTGAGCTGGGTTCGGGGCTGAGTGGTGCTCCCCACCTCCCATAGAGGCTGGCCTGGTCTCTGTCATGCAACCTTCCAAATATTCCTCCATGCTCCTGAGGGGGGCATGTCCCACAGTTTGGGGACCACTGGTCCAGAGGGATTTTCAAAAGCATTTAGATACCAACCACCACTGATTTCAATAGGAGGTAGGTGCCTATGCACTTTTGAAAATTCCAGAAAAAGCCTGCCATTTTTAAAATAGGACTTCAGGTATTTTTGAAAACTCTGTCCCCCTCTAACACTTTTTACTGATAGCCTTCAGAACCTGCCATAGCCCCAGTTTGGAATAACTTTATTTTGCTCCCTTTATAGCCTCCTCTTTATTTAACTGTATGGGTAAAGCAGTTGCAAAGTATTTGTCACGAGAATATGAAAAACAGTTACAGTTTAAAATAACTGAGTGGATAGAGTAGAAATTACTGTTCTTATCCTCAGGACAAAGTAAATATAGTCTTTCAAAGCAAGGCTGCAATCTTGATAGAGTAACTTCTACTTCATGACTTCCAGAAAACATCAAATTAGAAGTGGAACTGAGTAGCAGCCTCCATATACAGGCTGCCTAACACTTTCCATTATAAAAGGTTTTTCAGCCTTTGCTAAGGAGGTCTAATGTACCTGTGCATTATGACAGTCTCTAATTACATGATCATACTGGTTTTGCACTTTCAAAGCTCCTGGCTTAATTGTAGCACAGGCTGGATACCAAAGTGAGCAGAACCAGGGTTGTATGGGCAACTTAGAAGTTTGGAAATGACGGATTTTGAGGGCTGTACTTGGCAATTTAACCAGCATTATAGAAGTTTGAAAATGTACTATATATAGTCACTGTACTACCAATATCTCAGTATTTGTTTGTAAAGTGATTTTGATGGCCACTTCTGGAGATAAAAATGTTATGTGCATGTGTTGATTTACATAAACATTGTATATGGGATTTTTAGTCTTGAGTCCATTCACAAGAACATCACAGTATTTGCTGATCCATTTGAGTTAAATTGCAGATATTAGCCTTTTGTAAACAAAACCAGGATAAATTCTTATTGTTTTTGTAAGATTTGGGGAACTATCAGTCAGGATGCTTGTATTAATGTAGTTCATTCTAACTATCTAATACATCTGATAAAGCTAACCTCCATTTACATATCTAGTAGCCTTTGCAATTGGCCTTTTGTAATGATTGTAAGCTACAGTTGTTGGTTGTGTATTCCAGACTGAGTCCACCATAGTGGACTTCTTTTCCTTTGGAGAAGCATGTGTAACCTTATCCTGGGCAGGGGCCAAGTGGTGACTCCACAAACATGGCAATGGGGGGCATAAGAGGTCATTTGCTCTGTTGGCTGCCCACATCACAGGGCTCAACGTAGCAAGGAAAGCTGGCTCTGCAGAGCAACTTGTGGGTGGATGGGAGGGAATGACAGGACAGGATAGGCCCATGTGCCTGAGAATATACTGTGTTATAAACCTGATGCAGTTCACTCCCTCTCCAAAGCCACGGTTAATTCAGTAACAGTAAGCTGCTATTGGGTATGACAAAGCCATGGTTTATCCAAGAGCAACTTGTCTGTACAGCCAGTATTAATAGGTTTTTTGCAAAAATTATCAGCCTTTTTAATTTGTGTTTTACTTGTAATTTCGAAATTGCCACATAAGAGCATCCCATAGCTCTTTGATGCAAGGACATTTTAGGGTACATTTGAATTCACACCCAGGAACCTGTAGTGATCCTCAAACCCAGTCATCAGACTTTGGATTGTGGGGCTCACACTAGTGCTCTAAATATAGCTGCTTAGATAGCACTTTGATGTTGCAGCTCAGGCTCTGAAGCATAGGGAGGGGGTAGGTTTCAAAAACTGAGCTCTAGCCTGAATCAAAGCCCCATCTACCCAGCTATTTTTAAAGAGCAAGTGTGAGACCCACAACCCAAAATCTGATGATTCAGGCTGGGAAGGCTCACTGAAGCACAGATCATAGACTTATGACATTATGCAACTTTTGAGTTGGGACAGGGGAGTTGTATCTTGACTTGTAGTAACTTGGAAAGGATATATAGAAATCATCCCACAGTTACTAACCATAACATGTTTTCATTCAGATCTATGGTGGAGCCTTGTGTGTTTGGATTTGTCCAAGAATGTAGAATAGTAATAGAGATGTAGCCATGCTAGTCTGATCTTACTGAAACAAAAGACAGGACTATGCAGCACTTTCAAGACTAATACGATGTTTTTTTAGGTGATGAGCTTTCGTGGGCCAGACCCACTTCCTCAGATCAAATTGTGGAAGAAAATTGGCATGACCCTATATACCAAAGGGATACAATTAAAAAAAAAAGTGAACACATATAAAAAAGACAAATCAGATTTTAGAACGGGGGGATGAGAGGGCAAGGTTCATGTCTGAGGTAATGATGTTAGAGGTGATAATTGGGGAAGCTATTATAAGATATCTAATATCATTACCTCATAGACATTAACCTTGCCCCCTCATTCCCCCTCTGTTCTAAAATCTGATTTGTCTTTTTTATGTGTGTTCACTTTTTTTTTAATTGTATCCCTTTGGTATATAGGGTCATGCCAATTTTCTTCCACAATTTGATCTGAGGAAGTGGGTCTGGCCCACGAAAGCTCATCATCTAATAAATCATCTTTTTAGTCTTGGAAGTGTTGCATAGTCCTGTCTTTTGTCCAAGCATGTAGACCAAGCTCTCAGTTGTGTGGTTCATTATGGAGCTATTACTAACCATTTTTAGCATAAGGATAGTAATGCAAGTCCCCTGCTAGATTAAAAGTTAAAATAGCTCTTCATTTAAATTCCTGCAAAGTTACTGTAAGCCTCTAATGCCACAGCACCGTACAAACAAAAAAGGCAGTTCCTGCCCAGAGAGTTTACAAGAGGAGTGTCAAGTACTTTGTCTGTCTACCAAAACCACAACTTAAAATAGAAGTAGATTTTATCATTAGCTCAAGCATGGTGTATTTTTTTAAAATTAGAATAATAAAATATTTATGAAATTGAAACCAAGATGGACGCTCCTAGAAGACAAAAGCCAGTGAAGACTATAGTCTGCTGCCTGTCAACTAATTATTTCAGAGTTTGATTATTGAAGTCATTTGCAAATCTTCCAGTGATTTAATGGGTCAGGATCAGGGCCACAATGACTTTAAGCAGAGAGACTGGGATGATGTGTTGTGTAGTGAATGTTTGCTAATGGATTTTTGTACACAATTTTCAAACTAAAGGGATCATTATGATGTTTTTAGCCATTATTAACTTAGTCAGTTTGCCTATTCCTTTAACAATCTGGTTATCCCTTCTTCCTACATTTTAAAAACTGCAAAAGAGCAAAGGATTTCAAAAGAAGGAAAAGAGGAAATGTCTAAAAGAAAAATGTTCTCATTGCTTAACATTTCTTTTTAATATTGTATTTTTAAGAAGTGATCTTAAATTCTAGTTTGTCACCAGGCACCTGAAATGTGATCTGTTCTTACAGGTGAAAAAATTGTGCCATGGATTGTGTTTAGGGGTCTTGAATTCTTTGTCAGTTTCATTCAATTAAATCCTAGATGCATATCTAGTATTTTATCTTGAGCACCACTGATTTCTTTTTAGAAAGCTCCGGGGCTGCAGCTCTTGATTTCATCACAGCTATTCTGATTGAATGTTATCTGGCAGTCTGTTTTCAGTATCTTGCTCCA